CAGCCACATTTTATTTCTTTGTGACTTTTTCCTCTTTCTTTTCTAATGTCTTGTATATTTCTCCAGGACCCAAATGCCGACACTCACTAATACCAGGTCCAAAGTAGACATTACATGTAAAATTTCAACTAGAATTATTTTCAGAAGGGGGAACTATTAAAGCTAGTAATGAAACAGTAAGAAAATGTCCTGCAATAAAATTAGAAATACTTTTAAAATTCATACCTAAGAATTTATGATCCTCCTACAGAAGGAATAATAATTGCAGTAGTAAAAACAATAACAACTCATGGTTATGTAAAACTTACTCTTGTTTAGGCATGTAACACTTCTAAAGGCAATATAATTAGTGTACTAATTTAACAGTTGAAGACACTAAGAAGTATTTATCCTTAAATCGCATAACTAATAGTGAAACTGAGATACAAACCTAACTCTTCTTATCATTCAAGTTACACTATTTCCCATATGTCACACTTTCAGTTCCATAAAATATCAGTGCTAAAAGGATCATTAAAGATAATCTGTTTTGGAACCAGCAATTGGCATAATGGCTATGTCACTGGACTCCCATGTAGTTGACCATGGTTCGAGTCCTAGACCCAGTGGCTTAAATTCATGCCAGGCATGTGTGTATGCGTGTCCAAGATCCCAAGAGGAGAATGGAAGAGAAGGGATTGTGGTGTGGCCATTCCCCCCTGAGGGGTGATTTCTTGCTTTCTGTCTTTCTGGTGAGCACATGCATCCTATAGCAAAAACTTCAAAAATAAAAAGGATGATCTGTTTAAACACCTTTATTTTGTAGGTTATTACAGAAAAAAGTGAAATAAGTTCTCAGAGCCACTTAGTGACTGAGTCAAGTGTCAGCCCCCTAAGCCACTCAACCCTACTCTTCATCTTGCCTAGCTCACAAGGCAGCATCAGATAAGCAACTTTTCAGTCTACCTTCTCAATTCCTTTTGTGTCTTTGTGCAATTTGAATATCCTTTAGATTTTCTCTGTCACAGCATAGGTTTTCAATATATGTTGCTCACATGAGGAAGTGTGAGGAGAAGGTATGAATCCTACTGTATACAGAATGCCTTCCAGTTTACAGAGCTGTGATTGATTCTTACGATCTTTCCAATGGCTGATTACAGAGGTTCCGCTACAGAGGAACCTTTCCATGGTAAGGTTCAGGAAAGAAGTCTGGCAGAGTTAAGTGATGTAATAATATACTTGTCTATATGAAAAAGCTGTGAGACTGGAAAATCTGTCATTTTGATAAGATATGAACTTATGGCTTTATCTCAGGTGTGCCACTATTTCTTTTCTTTTTTTTTCTTTGAGTGTTTTCTTGGAATATATTTATTCCTGCTACAAGTGAATGAGTAAGAAAGAGAGAGTGAAGAAACATCCAATACAACCTTTTTTTTCTTTTTTAAAAAATTTATTTATATCATCATAATTTTGTTTATATTACATTGAGTCACATATAACTTTACAGTGTATTGCATTAATTTTCCAGAAGGAATACCATGCATATTAACCCATACAAAGACATTAAAATCCCCATTTTGTCATCCAATAGCTTTTCATTTTTCCCTATTATTATTATTATTCCAATTATTTTTTAAAACAATTACTATTTCTCATTCTGCTTATAAAAAGACTTTACCCAACATCAAATAGTTCTCAGACAAATCCAGTTGAGAATACTATACACGTCATCATCAACAGGTAATAAACCATATCTGTGTCCTGCTAATGTCATGCCTCTCTGTTTGTTCTCTTGCCAGCTTTCTCTATACTTTTCACTTCTCTCACCCCATTCCACACTGTCTTATCCTTATTAACTATTTTCACTGCTTTTATGTCCTCCAATATTTTGTCCACCATAGTCTTGATGTTACCATTCACATCCAGCCTCTGGATCATGGCACATGTGTACCTGACATATTCAGAGAGCATTATTTCTTTACAGTGTTTGACACACTCTGACATCTCCCATTCACACAGAGGAAGTAGCATGTTGGCGGGATTCAGTGAGCTCAGAGGCATTTTTTTAAAGAACTATTTTATTTAACTTTATTTATCCATTTATTTGTTTATTTAATTTGACCAGAGAGGGATAAAATGAGAGAGAGAGAATGTGAGAAAGCAAGCTGCCGAGTCCAGAACTCAAACTGTGGTCAGCCACGTGGGAGTTCAGCACCCTTAACCACCATACCACCTTCCAGCCCCTCAGAGGCATTTGTTTTCCCCACTTATGGGGCCTGAATTTCTAAGTTCCCTTGATGACTTGGGTCCCTTTGCTCTTTTCCTTTCAACTCAACCAGCATTTATAGAACTATCATTATGTCCAGTATGGTAGAAATTTAAAGCACTAAAATGTTTTCTTCCCAAGGTATTTGCATTTTAAGCTTCTTTGCAATTGAGGTATGAGGGGCTATAGAATAGCAAAGTCTGCAGACTGGAAAACGCTGCTCATAGCAAGGAGGGAATTGGGATTCTGTGCTCTTTTGCTGTCCTGGCTCATCAGAGAGTGCTGGGCCCACTTTCTTGACTAAGATGTGTATCACACAGTTCACATGGTATAGGGGGTGCTGGTGGTCGAGAAACGAAAGCCCTGATCTTCTGTTTTCTAGGAGAGGTATCTGTTTCCAAGGTGACCCACTCATTTCTGGGAACACATCTGCTTTGATGGGTACAAAAAGGCAACTGCAGTTCCCCTATCTAATTTTCCAAGTAACTTCACCATAATGAATTTAATGAGACAACATTCATATTCAGATTTTACATTTAAAAACAGGATCAAAGCCTAGGTCCCAGAGGTGAGCCTAGATCTCATTGGTGTGTTTAGAGGTGGTTTTAGGGGCGGCAGGAGCTTTAAGCTCATTAAACAAATGCCCTCTCAGTTCTTTAGTTCAGGATCTTACAGAGTGTGTTCTGGACAACCTCACCCTGTGAAATGCACAGAGAGAGAATTTTCAAAGTCAAAGCCTTAGGCTGGTTCTCATCTCTGATGAGATCTACAGCACACAGTGTGCTGAGGGCTCTGGGAGTCCTGAGGCAAAGAAACCTGTTTTACTTTAAATTTGTGTCTGCCGCTGAATGCTAATCAAGTTGGGCAAGGGGCATGAAGACAAGGAGAAAGAGGGGTCAGAGAGCAGCATGTGATTTGAAAAGGTCATTCCATCCAATCCACTGCTGCCCTAGGGCTGATCGCTAATTCAGCTGAGAAAAGGCTGTCAGATTGCTGGACACATTTTTATATCATTTTAAGAAAGATTCTAGATCTTAAAATGGACCAAGAATCAAGTGGTGTACCTTAGAAATCAGAGCTCACCAGCAGGGTGGGCAATAGCAGTAACAAGAACAGAATAGTAGTACTATTCGATAACTATTTTTTCTTTTTTTTTTCTTTTTTTTTTTCTTTTTTTTGAGAGATTTTCACTGTAGGGCGCGTGCGCTTGCCAGACAGACAGAGAGAGACATAGAGACAGAAAGCGAGAAATCACCCCCCAGGGGGGATGGTCACGCTGCAATCCCTTCTCCTCCATTCTCCTCTCGGGATCTTGGGCACACACGCACACGCGCCCGGCGTGAGTTTTAAGCCCCCGGGCCCGGGACACGAACCGCGGTCGACTACGTGGGAGTCCAGCGACATAGCCATTACGCTAACTGCTGGTTCCCGATATTCCGGGTTTCTTAACAAGTGCTTCAGAGCATTCAGACGCTATTCTGAACTTTCTCTTGGATTCCACATTAAATACTCACCAGAAAAACTAATAAAACAAACAAACAAACAAAACACTAAGTAGGTATTAGGATTCCCCCCCCCCGCCCCCCTTGCCTCACATATGAGAAAGCTAAGATTGACCAATGTTAAATATCTTACCCAAGACCTACAGGCAATGCCAGCTCCATTGTCCTCAACTCGTAAGAGTGACTTAGACGAGTTGGGCATTGAGGAGAAGGCTTAGGTGAGCTTTCAGTCTCCTTATATATACACACACACAGACACATACATGCATACATACATACATACATGTATGTATGTGTGTGTGTGTCTAGTTTTAAATCCAGAAACTCTTAGAATTTTCCTTCCTTTCTATCATGTGAAGGATTTCCCCTCTCCCAGGCAAATCAGCTGTTTTGTAAGAAATTGTCACACTTTTCCCCCTACGAGGGAAGATAAATGTCTTTACTAACTTACTGACTTCTCTGTACAAGCGCAAGTAAATTACCTTCCACATTCAATAACCACAAGTATGAATTAATGCTATCAATCAGCACAAGAAATGCCAAGAATATTGAACTAAGCATCTGTACTGGGCAAAGAGGAAGCTTTTAATCTTATCTGCTTCTGTCTTGTCAAAGATAAATATGAGGCGTTGACTTCTGTGAAAATTAAACTGGAAAAGCAAACACAATGATGCATCATCGCACATCTCTGGACAAAGAAATTTAATTCCATTGAGAGGGGGTTTGGAGGCCCCTGAACCCTGTATGTTCAGTTTTTATAGAGAAGTAGAAGAAAACTCTTCATAATTGAATTAATATGAGTTAGTAGCAGAAAGTTTATCAAATACTAGTTGTGTGTATGTGTGGGGGGCATAATTAGAGCCCAGTATTCTGAGTGTTAGTGATATACTCTTTCAATAATTTTTCTGCCCTAAACAAGAGATGGGTATTATGACGGTCAGTGAATTTGACTCATTTTTAAGACTGTTTAAGGAGAGAAAAATGTGAATTTTATATAGAGCCAGAAAAAGAAAACAAAACAAAAACCCAGATTTGTATCTTACCTCTGCCACTTTCTAAAGGGAAATAGATCTGTTTTTCATTAGCCCCAATTTTTCTCATCTAAAGAGTTCAGGTAGCATGACCTACTGTAACAGGTAATTGTGAGGACTATGTGAGATAAGCAGTCAGGAACACTTGAGTCATTCTTCACTGCATGGCACCAGGAGGTGCCTGGCAGACATGGTCTTACATGGGCTCTTTAGAGTATCCTAATTTCAGCTGCCTGTTCTAAAGCCCTGTAATTGCATTGGTGGAACTAGGTAGGGCTGCATTGAGAGTGTTTGTGTGTGTGTCTGAAAAAGAATGCGCATGTATTCATATGCATGTTTGTATTTGCACAGCTCACTTGAAAATACATATTAGTCACGTGTATTTCCAAGACTCTTGGAAGGCCATGGGACAAGGCCTTAGGTTGGTAGTAAATTATTTAATATAAGTCCCTTGCAAACTCTCAGGACTCAGTAACTTAGAGGTGGAGAGATGTAAAAGCACATTTGCCAAGCTCCCGGTTGCCAAATGAATCAGCCATGAGTGTGGGAGAGAAAACCATGTGATACAGTGTCCCAGCTTACTGCTTCATGTCCTCAGTGTTCTGAGTAGGATTGTGGGGGTTGGGTAGCAGAACTATTTTATTAAAATGATACAATTTTTGATAACAATTAGAATAGCTGATTAGCTGTATAAAATTTGAAACTAAGTTATAGATGTATTTTCTCATATATTATTAAAGAAGCCTTTTAATAAGATAGAAAACGTTAAGTTAATCAATGAGATCCAGCTTGTGGAGAAGTTGTTTCAACCCAATCCAAGTTACCTGTGTTTCTGCTATACATACATAATACATGCATACACATGTCCATATCACATAACACAGGAATGTGTATGTGTGCATGTATCTATCTCTCTATGTATTTTTAACACAGTGCTTATATGGAGCCAAATGGAGAAATGACTGAGACTAAGCACTTAATTGATAAATAACACTGCCAGGACTAGGACCCAGGTTTATCCCAGGTCCTAGACAGGGTGGTGCCAGGTAGGCAACAGATGCAATGGGGTTCATCTGTCTGCTTCATCCACAGGCTGCCCTCAGCATCCATGGCATGTGTGGGGGACCGATGCTGGGCTTGTTCTCCCTGGGAGTCGTGTTCCCTTTTGTGAACTGGAAGGTAAGGATCTCATACCCCTCCTCATCAATCCCGGGTAAGACTGGGCCTCAGCCATTTTCTCTTCTCTTTCTTTTTTCACCCTGCTTAGAAAGGTTATGTCCTTTGCCACGGAAGGAACATACAGGCCTAGACCTCTGATCTCTGACATTAGGGAAGGCTTTTTTAGAAACATTTGACACAGAACAGACAAATCTACAAGATAATCTGCTAAGTGATAATATGCTATGTGAAATAAGCCTAGCTAGGAAAGACAAATACTGTATGTCCCTGTTTAACCTACACCAAGTGTCTGCACTCTGTGATGGAAATGGAATGATTTGATGGCATGGATGTAAAGAAAGCCACAAGAGATACCAGAGACTTGCCCAGGTGTGAGGATGGGAAGGGGCTTTGGAAGAAGGGATTGACAGACACCAGAATGCCTGTCAACAGGCATATGGGTTAGGGAATGGTGTTCCACAACAGAGTAAGAAATGGTATTACCCATATATATTTCACCATAGTAGACAGAACATCAAAGGTGCACACTGTAGTGTCGTGTACTTTGTTGGGGATGATGGCCATGTTAATATCTCTGCCTTGATTATCACACACTGTGTGCATGCTTTGAAGACTGTACTGTGTCTCACAAAGATGTACAACAGTTAAATGTAAACCAGACATTATAAAATAAGGCCATGTCATCTTAGGGATAAATTATACTATAAACTATTACTGAAAGAAATTTAGGACTATATTAATAAATGGAATGAAATATCTTGCTTATGAAAAAAGAAAAAAGAAACAGAAAGAAGGGCCATCCTCATAGCTCAGTGGTTAAATGCTATGTGCAAAAAGCAGATCCCACTGCCAGATCCAACGGCAGTTTAAATTCCAGCCCCAGTGGCTAGGGAAGGGTGCCAGGAGTGTATATACATGCCCCGAATTATGATATGATAGAGAAATGGGGGAAGAAGGACTGTGGCATGACCCTGCCCCACTGGGGATCTGCCATCTCTGTCTCTCTGATGAGTGTATACATCCTCTAGCAACAACAACAATAAAAACAAAAACAAACCAGAAAGCAAAGAAGAGAAGTGATCATGTCATGGTCTACCATATGTCACGGCACAAAAACTGAGTCTTTAAAGTTGAATTCTTTTCTTTCTCTTTTTTTAGAGAGAGATTTTAGCTATAGGTTGCATGCACTCGCCAGAGAGACAGAGAGAGACAGAAAGTGAGAAATAACCCCCGAGGGAGGATGGCCATGCTGCAATCCCTTCTCCTCCATTCTCCTCTTGAGATTCTGGGCATGCACGCACACATTCCTGGAGTTAGTTTCAAGTCTCTGGGTCTGAGACTTGAACCATGTTCAACTACGTGGGAGTCCAGTAATGTAACCACTACTCCACTGCTGGTCCCAAATTAATTTTTTTCTATCGGGTTGTTGGAAAAATCGCAATGTGTCAGGACTTTTCCAACAACCCAATAAATTAAGGGCCCACAAAACAAATATCAAAATAGGTATTGAATTCAGAAATAGTTCAAATATAATTTTGAAAACAAGTTAAAAGATGTAAACTTCTTTCTTTACCCATGTTTAGTTACCTAAAGTTATAACTAACATTTTTAAATTAGTTCATTGATATACATTAGAGGGAAAGGGACACGTCTGCTGGAGCCTGACAACTGGATTTTTTTGCTTTGTTGGGTTGACAAGCTAATAGCATGTCTTCAGGGAGATGGTGGCTGGATGACTGTTGTCAGTATAACTCAAACGGACTATTTGTTTGGAAAGTAGCATCATAATATTTTTAAAACATTAAAAATGTAATTTTCTCAATCTGTAGAAATTATTCTTTTTCAGTTATTGCCATCCACACACTTAGAAACATGTAGACTATAGAAAATTGACCTCTAGGCTTATTTATGTATACATCATAGGGTACGCCATGAAGCTTGAGACAGGTGGTCCACCTGATTAGGACTCTGTGGCTACCCCAACCCGATTGACCTCTTCTCTAGATAAATTGTATGGGGCCAAATAGAGAGAACGAGTGGGCAGCGGATATTAGCAGTGCTTCCCCTGCAGTCTTTTTAGGAGAATGTTATCTGAGACATTTTTCTGACATTGGTGTTGACAAGGATAATTATGATTTGAGGGAGAGTAAAATAAGAGAAGGTAATTTCCTAGCTATAAAATTTATGAACTAACCATGTAAGAATTTAGTGCAATATAAATTTTAATTTGTTATCTACGTTAGTACATCACGATCTACTTATTGAGGCAAATCACTTCTTTCTAGATAGAGGACAGTCCACATTATAAATCTGTCCCTTGGCATGGCCGTGGCTGAGTCTACTCATCATTCGTGGCTCTCCTTCCCATAGAATGGGGCTATGATCTCAGACTGTCAACACGGCTCTCCAGGCAATGACTATAAACCAGCTGAGTTTGACTCCCCAGGCAAAATCTATTTGCCATTTATTGAAGGCCAGGGGTCAGAAAACTCTATCCCTCATGCCAAATCTGGCTTGGCTCCTGTTTTTGGTACAGCTTACAACCTAAAAGTGATCCTGGTGTTTCAAAATGCTTGGGAAAAAAAAAATCAAAAGAAGAATAATATTGAATGAAACCTGAACATTTAGTCAAATTCAAATTTCAGTGCCTATAAAGAAAGTTTTCTTGCAACATATGCCTCTTCTGTTCAGGTATTGTATATTGTGGCTTTTGTGCTACAGTTTCAGAGTTGAGTAATTGTGACAGACACAGCTTAAAATATTTATTACCTGGCTGTCTACAGAAGTTTGCAGATCTCTGGTCTAGACCCAGGCAAAATTGCATTAGTTTCCCTAAAGATTAATGGAGAAAGCATTCTGGTACGCTTATCAAGGGGTCTCTGTTTTCCTGAACAGAGAAGCCAGTAAGCTGTCGACTCACAGAGAAGGCACAGTTACCTAGTGGAGATCATAGGCATCAGTTATTTTCCAGAGGTCCTGTTCTCACCTAGACTGTCCTGTCTCCTTTTTAGGAGAAATGACTCATTGATTTTTTTTTTCACTAACAGTTTATAAAGAAATATAACTCTTAAATGACTAAGCTAGTAAATATACTTGCTAATATTTAACAAAGCAAACAAAACTCAAACAAAAAACTCCAAAACCTGGGAAGACTACCGGAATCACTTGAGAAGAGAGATGGAAGTAAAATTTCTGCACAATAGCTGACAACACAACTGCATTGTCTTCATCAGCTGAAGTTTTTCTTAACTTCTGAAACTCTCCTATTGGAAACTAAGGTTTCAACAGCTTTTTGAGTACTAAGAAGAAGAAACCAAGAGGGAAAAAAATATCTTGCTAGAAATCTAAATATAATGATCCCTATGAAATTCTCTAGTGTCCTCATGTAAGGAACAAGTTGCTCTGAAGTAAAATGGCACTGTGAGGGTTGAAAGGAAGGTAGATTTCCAACACATGTGGCCAAAACCTGGTGTGGACAGCTAGAATCTCTGAGACATAGAACTCTGCACCCTACTATCCTTTCAGCAAACAACTTTGCAAATTCCTCATTCACTTATTTATTTTTTCTTCATCCAGGGTGCACTAGGAGGCCTTCTTATTGGAATCACCTTGTCATTTTGGGTGGCCATTGGGGCCTTTGTTTACCCTGCCCCAGACTCTAAGACGTGGCCCTTGCCTTTATCGACAGACCAGTGTGTCCACTTAAATGTGACATCAGTGCCTTCAGTGTTCCCCAGCAGGTATGCCAACCTCAAAGATGGTGCTGAGACCCCAACAGGGGTCACCAAGTTAGTGAAAGGTGCATTCTTCTGGAATACAGCTGATGGGACATGTCTTCCTGTACTATGAGAATTACTCTGGAATGTTCCTACCACTGAAGAGTGCCATGCAGGGCTCCAGTTTTCTGTAGACATACATCCATTTCTCTGTATGCAAGTGTACAAAAGTGAACTTGGCCAAGGAGTGATGTGGCGGCATGGGTGCAAAACAGAAAAAGAGTGGGGCTTGGAAACAGGTGTGTCAACGTGAGGATCACTGTGCCCTTAGAAGAACAAAGGATCTGAGTAGGAGATGAATGGAAAAAATGATTATAGACATATTATTGATAAATTATGAGCACTGCAGTGGATAAATGGCTTTTAAAGAAAACCACATGAACAGTGGGTTTAACAATGGGTGCTTCTGTCTATTTCTGGCTGAGGTAAGTGATCAAAGATATAAAAACATAGAAGATAATGCGGTGTAGAGAGAAGACCAGGACAATACCTCGGTTAGGTATTTCTGATTTATGGTTTTACCATTTATCTAGTCTGTGTTTTTTAACAAGTTAGTAATTTGTCATTTCTTAAATTCTCAGGGCCCATGACAGGAAGATGAGGGATCAGGATCGATTTTACTGGCTAGTGAGAGGATCAAATCATATAGAATAAATAGATAAATATATAGACAGATAGGTGATAGCCAGAATGACTGCACCTGACTGAAGTAAGTGTGCATTTTCACATTCCACGTCCATGTAGTGGCAAGTCTAGGAACTGCAAGTTTTGTGGTCCTGTGTCCAGGAAAGCACCACAGTTCGGGCAGCCCTTTTCTGTTTCTCATCAGTACGTCCTCATATTGGGCTATTTCCTTTGGGCTAACCTCCTAAAAATTGTCAGAATCTTCAGTAGATTGCATTTATAAAGATGTCCCCAGGCCTGGCATAGCCTCTATCATCAATGCTCTTGTCATTCTTTTTCTTTCTTTATTTCTTCTTTTTTTTTAGATATTTTTACCATAGGTGTTTGCACTCATCAAAGAGATACAGAGAGAGACAGAGAGAGACACAGAGAAGGAAAGTGAGAAGCCCTGCTCCCTCCCCCACCCAAACCCTGCAGGGGATGGCCACATTGCAATCCCTTCTCCTCCAGCCTCTTCTAGGAATTTTGGATACATACTCCTACACACCCAGCATGTTTTTCAGGCTGACAGGTCTGGGACTGGAACCATAGTCAACCATGTGGGATCCAGTGCCTTAAACACTATGCCACCTGTTGGCCCTGCCCTTGTCATTCTTGAAACTAGTCTCATCTAATTCAAGCCCAGCGTAGGAACATTCTCGTATTTGTGCTATTGCTTTTCCCCATTTCTCTCTTTTATTCACTTCTAATCATTCTTATCTAAAAGGTCACTAGATTTATTTCTCAAAGCACTTTTCTGAGCTCATGACCATCACTCTGAGATAACTTCCATGCTCGAGGTATCTATGGGATAAAGGACAACCTTTTTATTCTGGAGCTAAATGCCTTTCAAAACTCAAAACTATTCTGTGTTCCGGCACTATTAAGCATGCTTCCCCTCTTCTGCTCTGGATCCTGTCACTTTACCTTATGCATATCCTATTCTTTCCTAACTTTGTCTTCAATTAAGCTATTTCCTTTGTAGAAGTGCCTTTTAATCTTTATTTGCACTATCTCCAAATATATCCATTCCTCTTTCTAGAGCCAGATTAGAGCCTTCAATTTCTCCATAAAATATATTTTGACTAGGATTTGAAAGAATCTCAGAACTTAATAAGACCTTAATACATTTTCTAAGCCAATTACCTTCCATTATTAAGACTTTTCTACAACATTCACATTTTGAACCCATGCTTAAAATAACCAGAAAGATGAGTTGTCACTGCCTTCTAAGGAAGCCTTGACACTGTATAGTCCCTCTTTGTGTCATCTATCTTACTTTCCTATTCTCTCTTTTTTTTTTTTTAATTTTTTTGCTTCTATTTTTCCCCCTTCCCTTCTCTTCTATTTTTGTCCTTCTTTTCCATTACATAATAAGCTCCTTCGGTTCATGTAACATGTCTTGCTCACTGTATAAGGGAAAATGGCATAAAATAAACATGAAATAAATTTATGTTGATTCCATTGCCATTTCCCTCATCAGAAATCAAGACTCATCTTTACCATCTCTTTGTCCATCTTGGCAAGCATTAAGGGATTCTGGTTATCTCAGATGCCACAGAGTCCTGTGGTCCTGACTCTGAACCTGGGACAGAGGTCTTCCCAGGCAATAACAGTTGCAGCCAGCTTAGAAAAGGAAATCTATGGGCCAGCTCCATGGTGCAGAGGTAATGCTCTACTCAAGAGAAACCAGATTCCATGTGGTAACTGTGGTCTGAATTCCTGGCCCAGCTGGCCTGAAACTCGCTGGACATGTGTACTAGTACCCAAGATCTGCTGAGCTGGAGGACTGGAATGGGGGGAATTATAGCATGATCAGACATGTAAAGGTTGATCATCTCTCTGTGCATCTCTTTCTCTCTCATACATGCACATGCATTACTCTATCATGAATAAAAAAGAAATGATATATTAAAAAAAGTAAAGGGAATCTCTAACACAACTTTATTTACTTTCGCACATGATATTAAGCAAAAAGGGATACTTTGAAAGGATAAGTGAGGGACAGCAGGTGGCATGGTGGTCAAGGTGCTGGATTTCATAGGGCCAACTCCCCTGTTAGAGTTCTGGACTCAGTGGCCTGAAGAACATGCTGGGCACATGTGCATGCATGCCCAAAATACTTCAAGGAGATTGGAGGAGAAGGGACTTCAGGGTGGCTATCTTCGGGGGAAGTGGAGATTTGTCACTTTCCCTCTCTCTCCATCTCTCCCTGTCTCTCTCTGGTGAGCACATGCACACTAAATTTATACTTGAGTAGGGTACACCACACCCCACTCAAATTTAAACTGTCCAGACATTACATAGTTATCTCTGCCTCCTCTTCTGAAAGGAACATCTATGGGATCGTGGATCTCTTTTTCTACTGCATTACCTCCTGACACTGCACAGCCGATGAAGAACCTACCAGAAGCTGTGCTGGAGGAGGAAGAGTGTGGCGCACAGTGGGTGGGACAGTGAGTAGGCTGTCCTTGTGCTAGAGCACACAGGCACTTCCCTACCTTGTTTCCATTGTCTCTGAGTTTCCTTTAGCTCAGAGTCACTCCTTTGCATAAATGTATTATGAAACAGTGTCAACCTGTGTATAGTTCCCAGCCAACCACACTGCTGCTTCCCTTCTGCCTGTGTTTATTCCATCCTCTTTTCTTGAAATGCTAAGTCCTGGCCCCGACTACTACCTTAGCTTTGTTAACTATTAATCATTGTTCAAAAACAAGCTTCAGTGTCATCACACAGCCTGAGAGTCACACGATGAGAGCTCTCAGTCCCTCGTTTCTATTCTATCAAGGCAGTACCAACCCACTTTGTATTGTTTCTTAGTTCCTATTTAAACATTTCTCATTTTAAAATCTCCAATGTCTGCCCTAATTCCTGGCCAGAAATCAGTGCTTACTAAACATCTTAAGAAGAAATGAAAAGATGGGAAGATTCAGTCCTCATTGCAATACATCTAATTCTATATATGCACTGCCATGTTTGTAATTCAAAGATTGAGTTGGATGGAGTGAAATGCAAAGTTCCACCAGGCGACAACAGATTCTTTTATTAAAAAAAAAAAAAAGTCACAAAAAGTTAAGCTTGGGGGTTTTGAGAGGTGTCGGGCTCAGAAATGACCCGTGAGTGGCCCTCTAGGTTACAAGGATCATCCTTTCTGAATGCATGGGACTGGTGACATGTGCTGTTGTTCTCCACAGACCCGCCATAGCTGACACCTGGTACTCCATCTCCTACCTCTACTACAGTGCGGTGGGCTGTCTGGGATGCATTGTGGCTGGAGTGCTCATCAGCTTCCTAACAGGTTCGTCATGAGGATTCCCCTCTTTGGTACCAAAGAAGATATGAGATTTTGCATTGGTGGATGAGGTGGCTGTCTTGTTGGCTTAATTTTGAATCTACCACAAAAAGCCTTCCCCAAGACATATATCTGCTCTCTCCAAATGAACATGTAAAAGCTCCCTCATAGGAGCTAACTGATAACTATAAATCAAATGGACCAACAGACACATATAGAGCATTCCACTAAGTAACTACAAAATACACTTTTTTCCTCATCTCCACATGGAATATTTTCAAAGATTGATAAAATAATAGGGCATAAAACAAATTGCTACAAATTAAAAAACATATAGAAACTGTACCCAGCACCTTTTCTGACCCTAACTTGAAACGGAATTAAACTTGAAATCAACTACAGAAAGCACCCTCAAAATAAACAAAAACACTGAAACTAAATAATCTACTTCTGAGTGAGGTTAGAACTAATGAAGAAATTTTAAGACTGAAATTAAAGGAGTCATTGAAACCAACAATAATGAACACACCACCCTCCATAACCTTTGGAACACAGCAAAAACAGTTGTAAAAGGCAAGTTCATAGCCATTAGTGCTCACATGAAAAAATAGAAAGGTAACAAATAAATAACATCACATCTCAAGGAAGTGAAAAAGTAACAATAATAAAAATAATGTAGAAATAATAGAAGGAAATAAGTAGCAAAGATTAGAGCTAAAAATGAATGAAATGGAGAATAAAAGAGCTACATCACAAAGTCAACAAAATGAAAAGCTGTTTTTTTAGAGGATAAAATTGACTAATCATTAGCTAGATTAATCAAGAAAAAAAGAGAAATGAAAAAGGTAGATGAAATCAGCAATGAAGCTGGTAATATTACAACCGATATATTAGGCTTACAAAAACTTTTGAGAGAATATTACAAGTGAGAAGACATGACTGCCCATTTTCTCCAATTGTTTTCAACATAGTGCTGGAAGTTCTAGCCAATGTCATCAGACAAGAGAGCAAAATAAAAGGCATTCATATAGAAAAAAGAAGCTATAGTATTTCTACTCACAGATGATATAATTATATATATATACATGATTCAAAGTAATCCACAAAAAACTTGTAAAATTGATAAATGAATTCAGTAAAGTAGGAGGATACAAAAATCAATATACAAAAATTTGTAACATTTTTATATACCAACAATGAGCAGACTGAGACAGAGTTGAAGAAAGTAATTCCATTTACAATAGTGACAAAACAAATAAGATACCTAGGAATAAGCCTACCGAAAATGTGTAAGACCTCTACAAGGAAAACTACAAAAAACTGAAAAAATATAGTGAGTATGATACAAAAAAATAGAAAAACAGTCCATAGTCTTTGATTGAGAGAATCAATATAATCAACATGTTAGTTCTACCCAAATTAATTGACATAGTCAGTGAAAACAAATGAAATTGACTCTGACATTCTTCATAGAAGTAGAAAAAAAATTTACAAATTTTTCTGGAATCATAAAAGGCCCCATATTTCCAAGAAACAACTGTGTAAAAAGAGTAAAGTAGGAGGCAAGTAAGTACCAAGGAGTGGGATAATTGGGTCATAGCTAAATCTATTTGTAGGAACCTGAATCTAAATCTGTTTTTGAGGAACTTCTATATTGTTTTCCAGAAAGGTTGTACTAATTTACAATCCCACCTACAGTATGAGGGCTCAGTTTTCACCACAGCCTTGCCAGCACTTATTTTCTTTATTATTTTTATCCTAGCCATTTTTTTCTTTCTTTTTTTGAAGAGGTTTTCGCTATAGGGCGCCTGTGCTCGCCAGAAAGGCAGAGAGAGACAGAGAGATAGAAAGCGAGAAATCACCCCCCAGGGAGGATGGCCACGCCACAATCCCTTCTCCTCCATTTTCCTCTTGGGATCCTAGGCACGCACGCACACGCGCCCAGTGTGAGTTTAAGCCGCCGGGTACGGGACTTGAACCACAGTTGACTACATGGGAGTCCAGCAACATAGCCATTACACTAACTGCTGGTCCCTACCCTAGCCATTCTAATTGGGGTTAAATGGTATCTCATTGTAGTTTTAATTTGTATTTCCCTCATGACAGGAGACTTTGAATGTTTTTTCATATGCCTTATGGCCATTTGTCTTTCTTAGAAAGTTGTCTATTCAGCTAATTTGCCCATCTTTTGATTGAATTATTCATTTTTTTTATAATGAGCATGTATATATCTTGATCTGCCTAAAAGGTAAGGGCCTTGCTAATATGTATACATATATAAAATTCCTACTATCTGCTCTGTTCACTTACAAAGGATATGTGTAGAGTTTTACACAACAGATACCTAAAAATAAATGTGTTGTCTCCGTTTAACTCTATACTCATGAGCTTGTCTAATTTGAAAATGTGTCGATACTCAAAAATAAAGTCTCACCCTTTCAGCAGTCAACCAATTTCTTTCTGTTAACCAGTTTGGCCTGTTTGCACCCTTACACAAGAGTAACGTACTTCTCGAGGTAACAGTGCTTAGATTTATGAAAGGAGTCCTGGAAGCCTGTAACTATCTAATCCTTCTGTCCTTTCATTAATAGGTCACCAGAAAGGCAAGGATATTCAACCACTGTTAATTAGGCCAGTATGCAATTTATTTTGCTTTTGGTCTAAAAAATACAAAACACTGTGCTGGTGCGGAGTTCAGCATGACATTGAGACAGAGCAGGTGAGCTGACGTTAGAACTTCTAAAAATATGTATTGCCTCAAAGGGCTTCCCTTTTGGTTAATTTAAGCAAACAGCAAGAATGGGTATAAGGAAAAAAGGCAGTGAATGCTACAACTGGAAAAAAAAAAAGCAAACAAACAAACAAAAAAACCAAACTGGGCTTCGACCTGAGTTAACTCAGCTGATTAGCTTCTTAGCACATAAGTATGTTGATAAGTAGCTGGGCATTTGGGCTGAATTGTTGGCACTGCAAGTGACCTAGTTCTAAAGTTCTTATTAATCTCTAGGAGGGGTGAATTCTAGGAAAAACATTTAAATGCATGGCAGAAAGAAACAAAATAGCACAGTCTTATGCGCTGTGGAAAAGCCTAGGCTTCAGAGTCAGAGAGCCCTGGGTTTAATTTGGGTTCTTTGTCTTACATTTGAGGGATACATTATGGAGCTTGTCTGAATTTCTTTTTTATCTGAGAACTGGAGGAATATTATGTAGGACAACATGGACATACACACACACACCTCCCTCTAGAGTTGTAAATATAAAGATGTACTGAGGGAACTCACAGGCAGATAAACGGAAAGATGCATCTAACAGTCCTAGCCCTCTTCGTCCAGCAAGTGGTTTAGGTCAGTCAGGAGATGCTGTCCAACTACTGTTAAGGGCTCATCAGCCACAAGGCCACTAGAAAAAGCCTGTGATCAGACAAAATCAGACTAATTTGTTTGATGCAGCAAGGTGGGGTGCCTCAGAGGACACAGAGATGCCATCCTCAATGAGAGGGAGGGTGGAGATGCCCTTTGTAAGGTTTGGACTCCTGGAGAAGGATTCTAAGAGGGATTTAAGAGAAGTGGGAAATGAATAAAAGCTATCTCACACAGTGTTGGTGAGACTGCAACAATCAGAATTATTATGGCATTTGACACCTGCTGGGCCATGGAGGAGGTGAGGTTTCCTTTAAGTTTACAGCTGGTCTTATTGGTGTCCTATGGTGTTTTTTGTTTAAGTTTAAGCTTATTTTCACTCTTTTAGTCCCAAGCATTTTACTCTTAACAGTCTAGAAAAGGGACTCCTAACCCTTACTGCATCACATACTTCTGAGTTGTCAATTGCTGTCCTCCCCAGAAAACACCATAACAACACATGCATTCCATAAACCTGAGTTTAATACTTGCCATAGTTAGGGGAAGTCTATGACAGGGTGCAGAATAGGGAGGTTAGGTGCAGACATTTGGAGTGCTCTAAGCTCAAGTGATTTAAGAAGTTCTTTAAGTTGAGTTCTGATAGGAACTGAGGAAAATTATTGGGTTGTCAGAAAAGTCATGACGTATTTTTTCTATGCAAAAATGCACCATGACTTTTCTGACAACCCAATATATGTACAACCCCTCACATGATGAGGGTCCTAAAGACAGTCATGTCAAGGGCGGTTTGATGAGCCACGTGTTTGCCCTATGAAGTATACAGTTCTGAGAAGGGAGCTGTTTACCCAAATGAGGAATTTCTGTTGCTGGGAAGGCAGCTATTTCACTAGTCTATTGTATATATTAATGGATTTGGAGGAAGTTCTTGTAGCAATGAAATAGGTTATTTCCTGGTTTACAGATGTATCTTTCTGGGTGAGAATTTCCAGGAATACATTCTGTTCACATAGGCAGCTTCCATTCTCCAGGCTGAGTTGAGAGTGGGAGGAAAAACTCAGTGTGTCACTATAGGGCTCCTTTGCCAAAAAAGTAACACTGAGCAGTCTCCAGAGGACACTCCATCAAGAGCCCTTGCTGTTCACAGATAGGAAGGGAGCCACAGCTTGGTCTTTCATCATGAGGTGATAATATTATCTCATAATATTGCTTCTTTATTTAAGATCTATGTATTTCTTTCTGCAACATGAGACATTGTAAATGTTCAATACATCTCATTGTGGAATTATTATCATTGGAAATAGTACCTACAGAAGTGATCAAAGTTGTCAATTAGGAAGTGTCTTCGATCAGAGTTATTTGTATTGTTTTGTGCTTTCACTCATAAACTGCATGAGGCCATTTTAGTCAGTACTAGACCTCATATACGACAGCGATCCCATAAGAAGCATAGAGGCTCCCCCATATTGCCTAGGTGTGTAGTCGGTTATGCCATCCAGGTTTGCACAGATGCACTCTGTGATGTCCATGCAGCAAGGACGTTGCCTGACCACCTGTTTCTCAGAAGGTACCCCCAGTGTTCAGTGACACATGACTGCATATCATTTTTGAAAGAAGAGCTCAGCAAGACTCTCTTATGTTGACTTGGGATACATTAAGACTGTATTTCCCCCCTGCTCCCCTCCCCCCCCAAAACTGTCTTGCTAATATGTGCCTTTTCATTTTCCTCAGGAAAACCTTGAGAATGGCAGTGCCTGGAAACAAGAGGCTGACTCTGTCTTACAGAATGGACTGAGGAGAGAGAGCCTGGCCCAGGATGTAGGCTATGATCCCAAAGACAAAAGCTACGACAACATGGCGTTAGAGAAAATTACCCATTTCTGAGGCAACACGTGTGTACGTGTGTGTGCATACACACACACACATATACACATACTTCACACATTTTTTGCTTATTTGTTAGTAGATCTAGAGAGTTGTCACTGATAGAAGATAAGGATATTTGTATTTATTTATAATGATAAATAAAATGACTAGGGCCAGCCTGTGGCTTGGTGGTTCAGGTGGCTGAATCCAACATGGCAAATTGTATGGTTTAAGTCCTAGACCTGGCAGCTTGAAAAACATACCAAGCACAGGTGTGTAGGTGCCCAAAATCCCCAAAGGAGGGAAAGATGGAGGAGAAGGGATTGCAGCCTGACCATACTCCTTGGGGGGAGTGCTTTCTTGCTTTTCCTCACTCACTCTGTTTCTCTTTCTCTCTGGTAAGCACATGCACCCTTTGATAAATTTAAAAAACAAAAATAAAGTGATTGTTTCCCAAGATATTCTTTGGGAGATTTCAATCTGCAGGTGAAAAAGTAAAACAAACAATAACAACAAATTATCTGGGCCCTAAGGGTTCTGGCAACCTCCTTCTTGAATAAATTCAGGCTGAATTTCATCATAGCGTAACTAATCAAAATCTCTTTCCTTTGTGTTTCATTAAAATCCAGGTCTTTTAGTTTTTTTGTTTTGTTTTGCTTTGTTTATTTACTCCATAACAGAGACAGGCAGAGAGAGAGAGATAAAGAGAGAAGAGAGACAACTCTCAACCAGGTCTTCATGCCACAATCCACTTCCAGCTTCAGCCAGTCAGGATCTCTGGCACTTGAGTCCAACATGACCAATGTGTACAGGGAAGCCTTGGGATGTGTATCCAGGATTTCCCACATGGCTCCATCACAGAACATAGTATTATCATTGTGTTGCCACAGAAGGTCTCTTTTCTTGTTAAATGTTTATCAAAATATATTGGAGTTATAGGCAGAATGGGGAAAGTCAAGGTATATAAAACAGGAGAAGGCTACCCACCTCCAACCTCAAACCTCATAGATAGACCCACATTTCCAGGCTCCCACACTTTAGCTGTGATTGGAGTACTTAATCATGAACATCCCTCAAAGCCACCGTTAAGTTCCCTTTCCAACCATTCATGCTATTATAGCTGTCCTGACCAAACAGTACAAGAATTCTGAGCATGGGGGGAGAGGTGACATGTATGGCTAGTAGGAACAATTTTAACTAAAGTCCCTGCTCCCTTTGTGCTCTCAGTGTAGTTATTTCTTCCTTCTATCACAATGAACAAGAAGTTCTGGAGTCTTTCTTCAGGGCTGGATGAAGAGAAAGGACTAATCCTGTAGAAGGCTGTTAGCATGCCAATATGCAACTGAACCTTGCAAATAGCTTACCCACCCACAGGAGATTTCATGAGTCATAGAGTCTCCTGTGGTGCAAATACAGTGTCCACAGAACTTCCACTCTGCTCACACAGCTCATAGATGCAAGCCCTATTGACCATCAGGCTAAAGTGACAGAAGTAAATGTCTTCATAGTGAAAATCTAGAAAATATTTTTTTTTTGGGGGGGGGGAGAGGATTTTGCTATAGGGC